TTGGATTACTTTCCCTTTAAGAGGCATTAGAAGAAGAAGAAAAAAATCCATTAAACACAAAATAGTGGTCTCTGACTTGTGGTCAGACTCGCTCAGATGGAACAAACTTAAACGTGCACTTTTTATCAATGCTGAATTGAATGTAATTGAAAGGTGTAATAATGTATTTTTTCACAAAAATGTTAAAGTTAATTTAAAATTAGTCCAAGAAGTAATCATCTAGTTTTTCAAATTATCTGTAATCTAATTACAATATTTTTGCTGGTAACAACCATTACAGTTTTTTGTAATCAGATTACATGTTACTGATTACATTTAATAATGTACTCCCCAACCCTGCTCTCACCACACAAAGCCTCTCTCTCTCTCTCTCTCTCTCTCTCTCTCTCTCTCTCTCTCTCTCTCTCTCTCTCTCTCTCTCTCTCTCTCTCTCTCTCTCTCTCTCTCTCTCTCTCTCTCTCTCTTTCTTTCTTTCTTTCTCCCAGAGTCAAATGGTGTCAGGCACACACACATTCTTCTTTTAACACACGTCATCCTCTGTTGATAGAAGAGAGACCTCTATCTTTCTCTCCTTCCCTTCCTCCCTATATCTCTCTCGCTGTCTCATTCCCTCCTTCTCAATCTCTATCTGCCCCTGTCTCTCTTTCCCCACTCTCCCTGCCTTCCTTTCTCTCTATCCCTCTGCATCTCCCTCCTCTCTCTAACCACACACACTCCTCCCCTGTCTGCCCTCTAAAAATCAATATTACAGACACTGCTTGTTTTCACCCAAATGAGATACAGCAGACAGAGCAACATGGTCTCAGAGCATTTCGTATTATTCTGTATGTAAATCTGAGACATTCCATTTAGTACGATATGTTAAGTTTCGTATGGTATGTATTAATTTGTGGATGTCCATCATCCATTTCATATTAATATTTCACAAATTGCCATTCATACAATATGTTACCTATTTGAAAAATGTACAATATGTTACGAATTCCAATTTGTTGTGGCTAACATTAGCTAGAGGTGGCTAGGTGGCTAATGCTAACGTTAGCTAGCTGGATAACATTAGGGTTAGGGGTTAAGGTTAGGATTAAGGTTAGGGTTAAGAATTAGGTTAAAGGGTTAAGGTTAGGGTTAGGGTTAAAGGAAGGGTTAGCATGCTAAGTAGTTGCAAAGTAGCTAAAAAGTAGTAAGTAGTCGCAAAGTTGCTGATTAGCTAAAAATGCTCAACCACCCTACTTTTGTTATAGCCTTAAATAACCTTCTGTCTTATTTAACCGTACCAAAAGTAACATATCATATTAATTTGAGTGTCCCGGATTTACAATAATATGTCACGTCTAGTCTATGAGACCAGTATGGACAGAGAAAGAGCTTACAAGATGGCCACACACTCAATGTGCTTGGTTTGGCTCCTCCACGTCTCTCTTTTGTCCAGTGGGACCACCCACACACACACACAGATACACACAGTTATTGATCTGTCTGGAAAAACGTTGTCCTTTGTCCTGTTCTTTTAGAGAGAGAGAGAGAGAGAGAGAGAGAGAGAGAGAGAGAGAGAAGAAGAGAGAGAGAGAGAGAGAGAAGAGAGAGAGAGAGAGGTTGTGGTTAAGTACTTTACCCTCAGACTACAAGGCACTGTTTGTGTACCTGTGGCTTTCAACATTAGCTCATCTCCAGACTCAGAGCTGTTTGTGTATAATGACTTGAATTTATATCATATTTTTGACAAGAGCCCTATTGTTCCTGCTTAAAAGTAATGCACTATATAGGGAATAGGGTGCCATTTGGGACACACCCCTAAACTCCTTATGGGGTTACATCACACAACATAAACATTCAAACAAGTAGCTGTTGTAATGTAATAGTGTGTATGTGTGTGTTTGTGTGTGTGTGTGTTAATGGTAATGGTATGATTCTACTGCCCCCTGTTGGCAAACAAAGTGCAGTTTCGAATAAAGTTGGCTGAACGAATACATGCATAGGACGCCTCCCAAATGGCACCAATACTTTTAAACCGGGTCAATAGGGCTCTGGTCGAACGTAGTGCAACTGGGATGCAACCATAATATTGCAGCTGGTAGATACAGTATAATGTGAGGGAGGGCGCAGTCAGTATTATGATCTCACAAAGCACAGAAGTTATTTGCTAAGGATGATCCGATCTTATGTGGCACCCAGTCACCTTTATAGTGCACTACTTTTGAATACTTTTTGTCATTTGGGAAACATTTATTCATTTTATTATTAGGGCATCGTTTTTTATATTCCATTATACAGGCTACTTATTTAATTTCAAGAAACTATGATTCCCTGAATTCTGATATTATCCATTGCCATATACACTGTAGCTAAACATGAAATCAATAACCCACTGGGAACAGACGTCAATTCAACGTCTATCCACGTTGGTGCCCGGTGGGAATTTTATTTTCCACAAATAAATATGTGTGCGAATTAATTACCTCGCTTACGCTCTGAGCGCCGTCCTCCCCAGCAGTGCTTACTGGGGCGTTGTTTTCGATCACCACTTTCCCCACGATCACAGGAACCATACATGTTACCGAACCGTACATCTTACCGAAATCCTACAGGTTAAGCTCTCGGTAGATACTGCGCATTCTCTTGGTGATAAACAGCCGTGGTGGAGCCATCTTCAGAATCTCCTTAACGAACATCTCCTCGTCGATGGCAACATACCTGTAATGTTATGTTATGTAAGTTTTACTCGAAATTCAGGTTTTTGCTGGCACTTGTATGTACAATGTATTTTCTCTCCTTTCTCTTTCTCTTTATCTCTATTATCCATCCATCTATCCATCCATCCATCCATCCATCCACCCCTCTCTCTTTATCTCTGCCTCACCTCCCGCTCACGCCCCATGTCACGGATTTCACCAGGTTGTTCTCCACCAGCATCCAGAGTTTCCTGGGGAAGCCAGGGTGTACGTGGCGGGGCGGCAGTGGCACAGAGTCTCCCCGGTCGGCCTGGTGGGTCGCATTGGCCGGTTCTGTCCCTGAAATGAATTTGTATTCATTAAGTTTGTTTGACAGGGACCATGTACAACTGAAACATGGCTAAATCTTTCAAGATATGTTATGCATTGTAGGCCTACTTTAGCCAAGGCTGCGCCCCAAATGGCAACATATTATTGTCAAAAGTACGGAACTGAGTGTACACAACATTAGGAACACATGCTCTTTCCATGGCATAGACTGACAAGGTGAATCCAGGTGAAAGCTATGATCCCTTATTGATGTCACTTGTTAAATCCACTTCAATCCGTGTAGATGAAAGGGAGGAGAAAGGTTAAAGAAGGATTGTTAAGCCTTGAGACAATTGAGACATGGATTGTGTAATAATAATAATATGCCATTTAGCAGACGCTTTTATCCAAAGCGACCTACAGTCATGCGTGCATACAATTATTATTTTTTTGTGTATGGGTGGTCCCGGGGATCGGACCCACTACCTTAGCGTTCCAAGCGCCGTGCTCTACCAGCTGAGCTACAGAGGACCACGGTGTATGTGTGCCATTCAGAGGGTGAATGGGCAAGACAAAATATTTAAGTGCCTTGAACGGGGTATGGTAGTAGGTGATAGGCGCACTGGTTTGAGTGTGTAAAGAACTGCAACGCTGCTGGGTTTTTCACTCTCAACACTTTCCCGTGTGTATCAAGAATGGTCCACCACCCAAAGGCCATCCAGCCAACTTGACACAACTGTGGGAAGCATTGGAGTCAACATGGGCCAGCATCCCTGTGGAAAGCTTTTGACACTTTGTAGAGTCCATGCCCCGACGAATTCAGCTGTTCTGAGGGCAAAAGGGGATGCAACTCAATACTAGGAAGGTGTTCTAAATGTTTTGTACACTCAGTGTGCCATTAGGGACACAGACCTAGATTAAAATAAATAACTCATATATCCAGTCCCCAGGCAGGTGAACAATAAAATCATTCGGCATTCAGACAGCAAATAAACACAACATATGCCTACATTTTCCTCGTCCAGACAAAGCCTTTTGGCAGCCGGGGTGAGCGCGAGGATCGCGTCTGCCCGCTCTTGGATTAACGCTCTCAGACGCTCGGCGGAAAAGTTCTCTCCTCGTACTCCTCTGCTGTGGACGCGGCGGGAGACACTGGGTGAGACCGTGTCGACACCGGTCCAGACGGGAGCTCAGGGGATGAGGGTGGGGAGAGGTCATTAAACCGGAGTGGGTTCGGTACATTCGCGCTGATCTCCTGCTCGACTTCTTCTAGTTTTATGTATGACCGCATGGTAGAGGGGAAAATCCGTTATTCTTTGCGCATGCACGTTTTTGTCTGTGCGCCTTGCAGGTTGGTAAAGAATGATTGATGGATGGAATCTTTGGATTCACTTGAAAACGGCATGCTTCATACATAATAAAAACGTCACAATGCGAACTTTTTAGTAACCAATGCCAACACACAAACACCAAACATATAGCATGAGGCACAGTGAGACGTGAGCCATGCGTAAAAGTAAAACCATAGACGACAAAGAACTCCGAAGCCATTCTAACGATAAATACAGGTCCAACAATATATATATATTTTACTTTTTCAAAAATAGTGTTTTTTGTTTTTGGGTAGGACAGGAGTTTCGTTCTGTTTCTTTGAATTAACCATTCAATAAAATGTCTCCAAGGAAAGCATGCATAATAGTGATAGCTATGTCCACTTAAATTGGTCATTTTATAGCGAGCTGAGGGAACCATTCGGATGTCAACGATTGATATTCTGAGTGGAGACTAATCTGAAATGTATTTTCTTATTCTATTTCGAGCCTTGACTGTTGTTTGGTTTGTTTGCGTGCGCGAATTTACCTTGGCTTCATGCGCATTATGATTTCACCTCGTTGCCACTGAGCTTCTATGACGTCCAAAAACAAGTGCTACATTTAAAATCAATGACGACAGCAATCTTGTTTTCTGTTATTGAGAAGTACCTTTGAAGCAAGATAAACTTTTCGGCTTGCTTGCCAAAATATGGCCACTAATAATTTAGCGGACCAATCGCAACAGCTAAATAGTGACAGCAGGAGTGCATCCCCGAGAGTGTCAGGCATAGACCTAACGGTTCACAAACCGCCCAACAGTACGCCGGTACGAGACGTTGAAGCTGAGACTTCGGCGATTGGCACTGACGTGGATCTTAGCTACCTTCTGGAGGAAAACGCTCGACAGATGCTCAAATATCGGAAGAGGCCTCGCCTTGACCACGAAAAACCGGTGAAACTAAGCAATTCCTTCTTCAATCAAGATTTCCCTACGAGGTTGTGGAAAATAGTGGATTCTGACTTGTTCAAGTCGGTCACATGGGACAAGAATGGCATTTACATGCTTCTCGACGAGGAACGGTTCACCAAGGAGGTGTTACAGCCAACAAGATTCCAACCTACTCTCCCATGTGTCACCATGGCTGGATTCGACCAACAAATGATCCTCCACGGTTTTCAAAAGCTCTCCTCAGCTACCCCCACCTCAAAGGTATGGCCTAATTGATCAAATATATTAAGTGGCCTAAATCTATTATCAATGCATTACCAATACATGTTTTTGTCACAAATGGCACCCTATTTATTCCATGTAAGGTTCCTTCTCTCCCCTTATGGGCCCTGGTCAAAAGTAGTGCACTACATAGGGAATATGGTGCCATTTGGGACACAGAGCCTACCTACACTATCATCACATAGGCTATTTACGACTCATAATCATAACTCACTGTCATAACTTCTAGGATTTACAAATAGGCCGTATCTCAACAATGCCTGTCTATGTTTTCCAGTTGTCCATGTACTACCATCACAGCTTCAGACAGCACCAGGAGAAGCTACTGAAGAAGATCAAGGAACCGGTGGTTGCAGAGGTGGAAGTGGTGGAGGAGGAGGATGATGATGTGGAGATAATCCGGGTCATCCCTGGTCCTCCCCGTCAGCCCGGCCCTCCTGTTACTCCCATTACCCCTCCTGTTACCAGTAAGGCTGAGACCCGGGACGGCGAGGCCGAGAAGGATGAGAAGAAGGAGAAGGAGCAGCTCTCGCTAGCTGCCAAGGACCTGGTTGCCAAGATCAGCTCGGCGGTCAACCAGAGGAAGACCGTTCTGCTGGTCACACCCTCCTCCTCCTCCCACACCTCATCCACACCCACCCCGGCCCCAGCCTCCTGCCCAGCCCGCTCCTTTACCCTCTCCTACCCCACCCCAGTCCCCTCCTGCTCCTACTCCAACCCATCCACTCCTGCACAGGCCCTAACCCCCTCCTACACCTACTCCACCCCGGCTCCCACCCCGGCCCCAGCCCAGTTCGAAGAGGCAAATGAGGCCCAGGCACACCAAGCCCAGCAGGCCCAAGCTCAGGCCCTAAATGCCCACCAGAGCCAAGCTCAGGCACTTAATGCCCATCAGGCCCAATACCAACAGGTTCATGCCCAGGCCCTGTATGCCCAGATGGCTCAGTCCCAGATGGCATGGATGCAAGCAGCGATGTATAACCCCTGGGTCCTCCAGGCCATGCAGATGCAGATGGCAGCCTATATGTCCCCCCCACCACACTACCTGCACCGGCCAGCAGGGGGGTTCTCAACCACTCACCACATCCACCCAGTCTACCCCAGTGGGAGCAGAAGCCCTACTGGGGCAGGGTCAGAGTCGGGCCGCTACTCCCCTGATCTGTCCTTCTCCCCACCCAATCCCTGAACCCCTCTATCCCTCCATCCCTTCATCCATCCAGCCATCCATCAAACTAAGCCAAACCTTGAGTAGGCCTATGAGATCCCTCTTCCCCCACATCCCTAAAATACTTTTAGAGAAAACCTTTAATCTAGATTCTTAATAAACTATTTTGCAGTTCATATTTGTTTGGTTGTTGTTGTTTTTTTGCCTAATCCCTCTCAACCATACACTTTTTAAATTCGTTTTTTACAGTATTTTCTTAATGGGTGCATGCTTATTAGTAACTGGAATAAGCTATTTCAAAAATGTGTGAAGTGCAGCTTCTGGTTGCTCCTCATTACACACCACAGACCAGCAAATATTCTTTACATCAACAACATAGGAATCACTACAAAACGTATTGTATGACCTCTTATACACAATATTAGGCCCAGCCTTTGGAACTTTGGTTTTCCTAGATATGGCTACTATATTGTGATCACTACATCTGCTGGATTTGGATACTGCTTTAAAACAAATTTCTGCAGCATTAGTAAAGATGTGATCAATACATGTTGATGATTTCATTCCTGTGCTGTTTGTAACTACCCTGGTAGGTTGACTGATAACCTGAACCAGGTTGCAGGCACTGATTACAGTTTGAATCTTTTTCTTGAGTGGGCAGCTTGAAAGCCAGTCAATATTTATAACACCCAGAAAATATACCTCTGTTGATATCACATACATTATCAAGCATTTCACACATGTTATCCAGATACTGACTGTTAGCACTTGGTGGTCTATAGCAGTTTCCCACCAGAATGGGCTTTAGGTGAAGCAGATGAACCTGTAGCCATATTACTTCAACAGTATTTAACATGAGATCTTCTCTAATCTTCACAGGAATGTGGTTCTGAATATAAACAGCAACACCTCCACCATTGGCATTTCTGTCTTTTCTGTAAATGTTATAATAATGTATTGCTACCACTGTATCATCAAAGGTATTATCTAAGTGAGTTTCAGATACAGAATATGAATGCCATCTGTTATTAGCAAGTTATTGATTTCATGAACCTTGTTTCTTAGGCTACATATGTTAACGTGGGCTATTTTTTAGCACTTTTCTGGGATGCTTGATTGTTTTTATTGCTTTACTGGGAAGCTTAGCAGAAGTAGACATGCTCATGTTAGTTATGTTTGAGCTGAGTGCAGGGTGAGTTGCACACAGTGGACTTCCTACTAGGGCACACTCACCGCCTCAGTGATAACAGTATAACTCTGGTTCATAGGCACATGATAACTGCATACTGTACAATAGCTGTAGAATCAACAGAGGCATTCAAGGAAGTTAGAGGGATATAAAATGTATTATTATTCCAGCCTTCCCGTTCTCATTGTCTGAGTGGACACATTGTTTGCAGAGTGCACAACCTATGCTACACCTGTGAGAAACAAGTTTCGGTTTATTTCATTCCATTTATGAGTTTTGTCAATTTAGTAATTGTCTTTTGTTTGGAGTGCTCCAGGCAATATTGAGTAACGACTCCCACGCATAGAAGTAGGCCTATAGGCTACCTGGCCTGGCGCAAATGTAGGCATATAAATGTGCCCATTTGGGGATCTGATAGTATTTCTGATTGGATGCACCACCTCTAATGACCTGTGGAGATTCTCAAAGTAATGTTTTCTTCACCTCAAACAGCAAGCAAAGGAAGTCTGTTTTACATCCATTGAGAATTACAATAGTTCCTCAATATATTCGAAAAATCTTTCCAGCTCTCTCCCTTTCGATAACCACTCAGCGTGAAAGGGAAAAATGTCATGCTCTGATCCAGTGGAAACGTCATAAAATAGGTCTACCTGATTACTTCTTATCAGTGCTTGACTTGGACTGAAATAGGTTCCGGCACTCATTTTGGCTGCTGGTACTGTTTAAATATCTGGGTGCAGGAGCTCCACAATACTTTTGCGCTAATATTCTATAAGAGGAACAGGAGCTCAAGCAGTAGAAAATTTGAGGTGCCGGTACTCAGCTCCAGTAAGCTTCTTATCCCTTGCGCAAATAGCCTACAGCTGTGTCTGTCCCGAGCTCACTCGCTCGGGAAACTCTGAGGGCCCAGAATATTTTATACAACGTTGCAAGTTCGCTAGGGCAAGCTTGGGCTGGACTCAAGTTAATAGTTGATACAATGTTTCAAGTTCATTGCAGACAGGCCATGTGTAGCTAATGTGATATTTTTTTTTATCAGGATATTTTCTACCTGCAGGCTGCAATGTTTTTATTTGTTGGCTTTATGTAGGCTATTTTTACATAGTTGGCAATGGCAATAGAAGTAACTTTTTAGGTTTGTATCATTTTCATTTAGATTTGGATAGAATGTTGATTAACCATATGACAATGATTATAAGATAAGAGAACATTATTTTAAATTAAATGAAACTGTTTCACAGAAATTTCCATATGAAAACCATAACTGGCATGCAGATCGGTAGAAATTGTAAGATAAATTGGTATTCAACATGAGAAAGGTTGCCAACTCCTAGTTTAGCCTATTACCGGCAACTTCAGGAGAGTAATGGCAGAATCTGAGAAAGCCAGCAGGAGCAGGAGGAGAATAGTTGGGTCAGGTGAAGTTTTTTTTCCTTCTGATTATCTAGATCTCTGGCGCCCTCTTGAGGCATTTGTCTTATTTCATCAAACCGTAAGCTTTAAGCGTCAGACAAGCGCAATGCATATAGGTGATTTTATTAAAACACATAGGGTGTATCCAATGGCGGCCCATCATTCAGGGCAGGTGGGGCTCTGTTTTGAGCCCCACCTGTTTAGCTAAAAAAAAGGAAGTAGGAGGTCCACTGTGTGCATATATATACATTTATATATTTTATTGCCTGTTTTGCATGCTATTATGGCATTAATACATTTACATTTACATTTTAGTCATTTAGCAGACACTCTTATCCAGAGCGACTTACAGTTAGTAAGTGTATACATTTTCATACTGTCACATATCATTTTGTAAACAATGTAAAAAATTAAGAATCTTCTAGTTAATAAAGCTGCATACAAACATGGTCTCTTTTTTGCTTTCTTGAATAAGGCAGCTCCAAAATGGAAGCTCAGTGCTTTCTGTGGTGGTGGGGCAGCCAGCGGAAAATACGGAGCGTAGGGGTTAGTAATGTTCTCTAGTTGCGCCGTGATTGGCTCAGTGTTCTGTCACTCATGGGGACACTACATCACCGCAAAATCTATGGGGCGAGCTGAAAATTGAAGCCCCTTGGCTGTTGCCATAGAGTTACATTAGAAGTGCCCATCCAAGAAGGCTCAAGGTCATTGGCCACAGATAAAATGAGGTCAAATCACGCTATATCTACAGTAGCTTTGATTGGACTGATCATGTCAACATCATACTTTCAAAATCTTAGCTAGCAAGCTAGCGGTCATCATCATGAATCAAGTCAACAATCTACAGGCAAATCCTTTTCAATCCTTGTCATATGAAGAGAAATTATATCGCTGCTCATCGGCCATAAACATTACACAACAAGTTGGAAATCGCTGCAATTCACTGCAACTCCTGTACGGACTCAGAAGAGGCAAAGGTCGAGACCCATGTGTCCTCCGAAACACGACCCCGCCAAGACGCACTGCTTCTTGACACACTGCTCGCTTAACCCGGAAGCCAGCCACACCAATGTGTCAGAGGAAACACTGTACAGCTGGCGACCGAAGTCAGCGTGCATGCGCCCGGCCCTTCACAAGGAGTCGCTAGAGCGAGACATCCAGGCCGATTGTGCACCGCCTCATGGGTCTCCCGGTCGCAGCCGGCTGCGACACAGCCTGGGATCGAATCCAGGTCTGTAGTGACACCTCTAGCACTTCGATGCAGTGCCTTAGACCGCTGCGCCACTCGGGAGGCCCCAACAATTAGTGGTTTGGAAGGAATCAGTGGCTAACTGCAAGCATTGCATAGCAATCACTAGCCTGCTATTCAGTGGAGTGGATATGTGGTCCAAGTCTGGGTTTAAGGGTCTATTTTCCAAGCTTAAAAGGATAAACATTCAACATTGGCCATGCTGTCCATCCAGCATGTCTTCTACCGCTTTCAAAACAACTGGAAACTCGGAACTGGGAAATCTCAGACTTCAGTGAGTTCAAGACAACTGGGAACTTGGAAAAAAACAAGCTCCGACTGGGAAAATACGTTTTGAACGGTCATCCAAGTCGGGAACTCTGACCTCTTTCTAGAGCTCCGACCTGAAGATCACTAATGTCATGATTCAACCTAGTTTTTTTCAGAGTTCCCAGTTGTCTTGAAAGCACCATAAATCCAGAAAACGACAGACTTTGATGACAAAGTTTGATGACAAAATTTGCCCATGAAGGACCACCACGCCACCTTCCTGTTCAAGTGAGCACAGCACAACAAGTGCAAATATGTATTGTATGCTGCTGCATAAATGATGTAATATGCCAGGGAGATACAGTGGGGGAAAAAAGTATTTAGTCAGCCACCAATTGTGCAAGTTCTCCCACTTAAAAAGATGAGAGAGGCCTGTAATTTTCATCATAGGTACACGTCAACTATGACAGACAAATTGAGAGAAAAAAATCCAGAAAATCACATTGTAGGATTTTTTATGAATTTATTTGCAAATTATGGTGGAAAATAAGTATTTGGTCACCTACAAACAAGCAAGATTTCTGGCTCTCACAGACCTGTAACTTCTTCTTTAAGAGGCTCCTCTGTCCTCCACTCGTTACCTGTATTAATGGCACCTGTTTGAACTTGTTATCAGTATAAAAAACACCTGTCCACAACCTCAAACAGTCACACTCCAAACTCCACTATGGCCAAGACCAAAGAGCTGTCAAAGGACACCAGAAACAAAATTGTAGACCTGCACCAGGCTGGGAAGACTGAATCTGCAATAGGTAAGCAGCTTGGTTTGAAAAAATCAACTGTGGGAGCAATTATTAGGAAATGGAAGACATACAAGACCACTGATAATCTCCCTCGAGCTGGGGCTCCACGCAAGATCTC